ATAACTCAAACATGGTATACCTATCCGACCATGTTCAGAATAATTTTTATTGAAAATATATATTAAGCGTTAACTTTTAAATATTTTTTTTCGGCTTAAAAAGTAAAAGGGGGGGAGGATGCAATTTCTGCTAATTTCACAACGATTATTTCCGAAAATATTCAATTAGTCAATAAAATTGCTTAAAAACCTTAAAGTGTTTTTAAAAGAGAATATACAATGAAACTGAATAAATTAATGAAGCGGAATAAATTAATGAAACGGAACGCAATTTCAAATACCAATCAAGGACCAGTGTTACCATTTCATCCAAGTTGACGGCTATTGCACGACTCATAATGCGAAGCATTAAGAAGTGCTCTACGAACGAATAATTTTTTTTCCTCAATTTCGTAACTTTTTTCATCAATAACACGATTAATAATTCATGTAATTTTATTAACCTGTGCACTATTTGATAGATAATTTAATGAAGATTAATTCTATCACTGGTTCAAATCGATTTAACATAATACAATTAGAAAAACTATCAAAATAGTCAAAAGAAATTTCCTGTCAATCAACACTTTTTCGTTCGGACACGATAGCGAGCGTAAAATTCACTAATTTGATCCATTTTTTTAATAGCTTGAGATCCACTGTCCGAGATTGGTATTGAAAATGGTTAACTTGATTTGTGTCGTTAATAGTTATTAACAAAAAACGAATGAACATTATGAGTCGTGCACTGGATTTTCCAAATATTATACATTTTGTTGACAGATTTATTAAGATCGAAAACTTAAAAATTACGTCAACCGTTTGTAGGAGGAGACTTGGTACCTGCTCCACCCCAATGCACCCAGCAAAACTTCGCATCAGAAACTTCTCGGTGTGTGAATGCAGTCTGGATGACGGTGTCCTAAACCACATCTTCCTCTCTTGTACGACCGCCATCATCTTCTAAACTTTTTCGTGTCCTTCTCCCATTTAGCATTCCTACTCTCCTATCCTATGACTTTAGACCAATCCTATCCTCTCTTATCTCATTGGTTAGTCATAATAATATAGTCTCCTATATGATTGCCATGTACGAAGAAGTGAAATGCAGTTGAAGACCTAAAAATGGTAGTGTTCAGTGAAGTAAATTACAGAAACCTATTTGAAGTTTACATGGATATGGGGTAAGAGTCCTCCTTCATATTATTTCTGCCTCGGTTTTCCGTAAGAAGTTTCCTTGTAGATCATATGAATGAAGCACATGGGTATGGACTCCCTCCTCTGAGGGTATGTATACGCCCTACTTGCGTGTACTTTATTAAGTTTTCAGTAAAATATTATTTACCAGCAGTGAAAATTTTTTTTCAACTAGTGATTTTTTTTGCCTGCGATCTGACGTCATATCATTTCAAATGCGTTCTTTTTCAATAATAAAATTTGTTTCTTTTTGTTAGGTTTATTTATATTTCTGTGAGGGTTAGATATTTTTCTTAAACCGATAAAAATGAATTGTAGGTTTTTTAATTACAATTTCTAATCTTTTATGTACCTATCACCTACAGACTAACAATTGTAGACTGTAATTGTTAGTCTACTGTAAAAAAGTTTTCAATAAATTCAACTTCGGCTATAATAATGTCTTCAAATTAAATATCTCGATGAAATATTTTTGTACCAGCAACTTTATTTCGAACCATCTCATTGCAAAGAATATTGAAAATATGGGCTACTCAGAGATATGATATTACTGATAACATATTAAAAATATGAACTTGGTTAACTTTAAACTATTAAAACAATTCTAATAGCAATTTCACACTCGTTCTTGTTGTAGGATTTGGTAGGAGCAATAATAATTATCTGTTTAATTATTCATTTGGCCGGTTCTTCATTTTTCGTTAGCATCACTGTATCACTGTTCTTTATCTTCTTTTGACGTTGACCCAAATCCCATCCTTGGACGTAAGAGTCCCGGACTTCGGCTCGATCTCCAGATGTCTCTTTGTTTGTCCCGTCGGTTCCACCCTGTACTTGTGCAAAAACCCGGCCAGGCCAATCATAGACTGCACCTTGCGAATCGCATTCCTAAAAATTAAGGGATGCATTTATTTAATATACAAAAGTTAATATTTTGCTGTAGGGTCTTTCGGGACAGCTCGATAGGTACTTATTTCGAATAATGTCGTAATAAGTACGAAATAAAATACAATTTCATATTTAAAGTTTGCAATTTCGTAAAAGTCTAAATAAGATTTGGTTTGGCAGCTTATTTCATAGACCAAAGGGCCGCAGTCTACATTGTTAGATCTAGTCTATTTAATCAGTATTTACTGCATTTATGCAACGTCCAATTAATATGTTTGAGTACTCAAAATCGTTTTTTTTTTTATCTAATTATGATAAATTTTCTCCATAAATATGAAATTTTTTCGAAAAATTGCTAAGTTGTACCATCAAATAAAACGATTAAATCGATAATTTAATTCGTTTCCATATTATACTTACGTTTCTTTGCGATCTTTTTATAATCGTATATCGGTTTAAGTGTATAAAAGATTACAATGTGCAAATAAATCTTATATACCAACATGAACTACTCAAAATTTGAGTATTTAATCCTATATCATATACGAAATGAAAAACTAAGCTAATGAAAGTCTATGAAGAACTTCTTTTACTTCGTTACATAGAATTACTAGTAGATTGATGGCATATTTATTAGAAAAAAAGAATTTGGTTAAGGAAAAGACCATTTTTAGCTTTAATTCTTTGACAGCAATATGTTTACTTTTTCCCAGTGTTTATGTTTTTCTATTATATAGATAGTATTCCTATAATGTTCCCAATTCACATGTTTCAAGAATTTATAGCTGATCGTTCATGAATTTTTAAATGTGTTTATCCAATGTACAAAAGGGGAATTATGTTGCTTGCGGGATTATATCAAAATGTAGAATATTATTATTGTTGCTATGTGACTTACCGATGCAATTGCGAGGTCCGTCCCCAAACGGTAAATAAACACACGACGGTAATTTGGCTTTATTTTCAGGAGAAAACCTTTCCGGATCAAATTCCAACGGATTGGGAAAATATTGCGGATCGTAATGAAGAGCGTATACAGGTATAATGATACTAGTACCCTTTTCTAACGATATTTTTTAGTTTGGAAATGTGTAAGGGCTCATAGATTGTCTAGACAATACGCCTAGTATCGGATACTTCCTCAAGGTTTCATCTAACACCATTTCTAAATAGCGCATCTCATTTATCGCTTCATAGGTCACGCCTCCGTGTCTCTCTACAACTTCGCTTATCTCCTTGTACAAGCGTTCTTGAACATCTAGATTTTGAGAAATCTCGTGCATTAAAAACGACATCGTCCCAGATGACGTTTCGAAACCTCCGAGGTAGAATATGAACGCTTGGGCGGCCATTAATTCATTCGTTATTTCTAGTTCCTTTTCATGGTCGTCACCTCTTCTGACCACTCGACCTTGTTCTTTTAGTTCGATCATGAAGTCCATAAAATCTTTACGAACCTTTGGCTTCCCAAACCGTTCTTTCACTATTTTGTTGACCATATTAACAAAGAATTCGAATATATCCTTTTGAGAACTTTTTACTCCTAACGTTTTTAAGAGGCCAGGAAAAAGTGAATTGATAAATCTAAAAATGGCAACTTTGCTGTCGAATAATAACATCCTATTAGCAATTTCTCTGTATACATTTTCCTTTTCACTGAACGCGTCGACTTCGACACCAAAAGCACAGGAGCCTATGACGTCCAGAGTGTATTTCGATGCCAAAGAACGCATTTCCATTACACCGTTTTCTCCGATCGTTCTATCGGCGTAGTCCAATAATCCATTCATACTCTTCAGTACCAGCGGTATCATGGTTTTCAGCTTTCCAGTGGTAAAAATCGGTGTCAGTCTGTGCCTGAGGACTCTCCAAACTTCGGCTTCCGCAAAGAAGAGGTTCTGCTCTATATCGCTATCGGTAAAAGACACACCTCTATCTTGAAAGTGGTTGAAATCCTTGATCAATATTTGTTTTATCCCTTCTGGATCCCTCACTATCAGTGAGGGTCTAACACCAATGTAAATTCCGACGTATTTTTGATCGGCATATTTGTTATAAAATTCGGTAAACAATTCAAAATAGCTCTTTTTTTGAAGCGTAAATGAACTGAAGTTCCCTAAAACCGGCACAGTCGGCGGTGAAACGATACCTCTTTTGGACCAATAGCTGTATTTAGTTTTTAGCCAATAATAGATCGTACACGCAAATATCAACAGACCGGTCACTATGTAGTAAATCATGGTGAATAACGTCCGAAGGATCCAGTCGAACTGATCGTTGTTAATCTAGACCGCATTATATAATATCTATAACTAATGATATGTCATGACTGTAACACGATAAGATAATGACTCATACGGTGTACTGATAATTTTATATTATTTATATGAGTGTGATACTATGGTACTACTTGTATAAATGTAGTACCAAGATCTGATGAAAGTGATTGTTGAAATTGCGACCATTTCTTTCAGTTTTAGTTATGGTATCATTGGCTTAATTAAAAATGTATTGCCATTGATTAGCATTTTTAATTAATCTGCTCTCGGTTAGCTTAGCAGCATCAAGGCCCAAGCTCTTGATTCTGAAATAAATGCTCATGGGAAAGTAGCGATCTCTTTGGGATTAAGAATGTCAATGGGCGACGGTGTACACTTACTCTCTGGTGACTTGCATGATCATTTGCCCCTTAAAAACATAAAAAGAAGAAAGGTGTAGTGGGATATCCAATTGAAATAAAGTTCATTTTATTATAGATTATGTATCAAGTAATAGGTATAATGAAATATATTAACAACGTACAAGTGTAATTACATGAAAAATAAACAAATAAATAAGGAAATGGTATTAAAATCGTAATTAACATTTTTTTAAGTTATGAAAATGATCATATTATTGTTAAATATTATAAGAAAATGCAGCAGTAAAATGTCAACACATCACGTCATGTTCCCAGGTTGTCACCTGTTCTACTAGTTACCGCGCCCGACTTTGCTTAACTTCGGACGAGAACCGGTATATTCAGCTTGGTATGAGAGTTGGCGATTGAAGACGTAAAAGACACTAATGCGAGGAGCTTTTGAAATGCCAACTATAGTAAAAGTCTGTCTATCTGATAAGTCTAGCTCTCGTTGGCCTGGCATCTGTAGGGTAACGTTCGATAAGAAACTTCGTCGCACGTCGAAGTCGCGTTGTACACTAATAAGCACACTCTGTCAATCGCTAGTCGGTGAATTCGTCCTATAATTACATATTTCATGAGTCACGTATACATGTAACCTGTGAAAGGAAGACATTTTTGAATTTGAACTTCTTCAAATATTATAAAAGGAGGTAATAAATATAATGTATAATAAAGTGTTCAATAGTCGGCTTACCGCACGCTCCGCCCCGCTGCACGCTCGGGTTGAGTGAGTACTTAAGCCGTACCCTAGGCAGATAAAAAAAATATGTTATTACATTGCTTTAGAAAAATCAAATCGACCGAACACAATTTTGATAAGAAGTATTTTATCCGATACGATTTAATTAGAAAGCCGATATGAGTCATGGAATTAGTCACAATTTTATAATTATTTTAATTCGTTACTACATATATAATAACCGAAAAGAATGTAATAGACTTAATTGAGATCATAAAGTGTTTGGCCGATATACAGAAATTCATTTATATCCGCGCGAGCAAAACCGCGGGCATATTTGAATCATAAAAAAAACAAATTTGTTATATTTTTATGAAGGCTTAACGAAATGCACAACGAAGTGTGCCCGTAACCGCTATTGTTTTTACATAATTCATTAAACAGTTACATTTTGATTTTTTCGATGCATCACATAAGTGGATATTGACATAAGTGGATATTCAAATGCCTATATACACATTCCTTAAACGTGTAGAAATTTCAAAATTCACTTTATTTTACAGCTTACTTAATGAATAATAAATGTGAATTTAAAGATAATATATCGCTCTGTACACTTTAGTAATTAAATTTGGCATAAATACAATTTGACTGATATCTAATTGTAATTGATAGCAATTAGAGCCGCATGATTAAGCGAGATAGCGCAGATACTGACCTTATGCTGACGAACGGGTGCCAATAATAATGTTTTGAGTCCTGCATTGCTGCATCTGATGGACCTGTCGCCATAAAATTTTATACTGAGAGCATATTTTATGTTTCATAAATGAAATCAGCAAACCGTTTGCAATTAAAACCATTTGACGTTTGAATTACCTAGGTCGCCTGATGTCAAATATCCGTTTATGTTGTGAATACGTGTTTGATGTATTTGTTTTCATTTTGAAATACATAACTTATTTCTTTCTGGAATTCGTTATTAGGTGGTAGCAGTTGGTTGCGAACTATTTTTAGGCTGCATTTGTTAGCTATTTCTGTGGAAACGGGAGACGAGAAGAGAAGAAGACGAAGAAGAAGACATAGACGTGGCATACGGATGGGCTGATGAACTTCCCAACGGAAGAAGTGGCAAACCATAACTAATAAGTGTCATACACACATTTTAATAAGTTTATTAAACTGCTCAATTGTATCGATAGCATGCAACGTGCATGCGCTTGTCATGGCTATATTCAGTGATATTGTTATCTTATGAGTTTTTTGCAGGAGTGAATGTTGAGCTGTTCGTTTGCTTTGTATCGACGTTGTGACTAATTTAGTGATTATCATATCTACCGAGACGCGTGCTGCGTATTAGCCGATTATAGCCGCTAGTTGTGTGCGATAGTTTGCCCAAGTTTGTCGTCTGGAGCAGCTGCCACGCGTCACCTCTGCAAGACGAGAGTAGATAAATACCACAAACAGCGTAAGTAAATGTAATGGGCGGACAAAGAAAAAGCACGGGTTACAGTTGTATAAATTATTGTTATTTTTATGACATAATTTATGAAATACCTAAAAATAAAGTATTACAATCTAAACATTTGACATTGTGAGAAATTATAACAATTGTGATTTGTGAACGGTTTGACACTGTGGTATGATCACCGACTTTGTCAAATGCATTTTTCTATGTTGATATAAGTAATTTAAATAAATTAAATGTATTTTTTAGGGTTATTGTGTCAGCAGTTTCATTTACGCTATACGGCGTAAATGGAGGAAAGTTGTGATAAGTAATAAATTAAAAAAAAAGTTATTAGATATATATATATATCTGTGACATACGGACGGACGGACGGACATCACGAAACTATAAGGGTTCAGTTTTTGTTATTTTGGCTCGCAACCCTATAAATGGTACTTTTATTCTTAAATGTGGCTGTGGTCACATTAAATAAGTATGTACTTAATTTACAATTTTCTTTTCCAACAATATCTATCGCTAAATACAACGCAAATAAAAAATATGCCGTTTCACTTTCTATTAGGTGTTTTGCTTAAATTAAAGTTATTGCATTAGTCATAAAGTTCGAAAGAAAAAAATTAAAATACATTAATTCCAATTGAAATCGTAATGATTTTAATAGAGTAATACTATTTAATTTATTAGTTTAATGGTAACAAATTATCTAGTTATAGTAATAAAACTGTTGTTATTCAAATAATAAGTTTCTTCGAAAGATTTTGGACCTCTGTTCGAATTGCCGACGCTCTCATGTTCATTTACTTTTACCGTTGTGTTATCTTTAAAATTTCTGCATGGCTTTTTATACTGGACTCCGACAGTCACAATTGATTACTTGACAAGACAATTATTAAAAAGAGCGCAAATGTAGAAATAGTAAACGGAGGGTTTAAAAACCAGTTTCAACATTTCAGGTCGACGTTTTTAATAGAGCTGGGAGTCACGTGTTTATGAGTTTAAAGTAGCCGATGTGCTACTTTTTCTTTACTTATACTTTCGAAAAACCAACGACAGATCATCGTTTAGTAGATCAAATTATTAACAAAATAAATGAAACTCACAATCGTAATCACTTTGATAACTATGTTATCAATAGAAATCTGAATCAAATTCGAGCTCATTTCGTACCTAGGCTTGTAATAGACGACCTTATAATATCGTCGTTGTTACTAGATCGTAAACAATGATGCCGGCCCTAGAAAAACTCTCGGCGATCGCAAATAATTAAGAATGAGGTGTTTTGTTGTTTTGACTAGGATATCCTTGAACAGAGAAATGAAAATAAGATTTCCTTCTGAGCAATCTTTCATTGACATATAGACCCAAGAAGGTTTTATGTTTGGCAAAGGCAATTTATTATTTCAATTTACATTTATTATCCTAAAACTCCTGAATATTTTAAGCACAGTATTCACGTTGATTTCAACTCGTGTGAAAAAATAACTATACGTGAACTTATAGTTGTTTAGTTATTACAATGTTTTCATTATTGCTTTCTTTTAACAATATTCTTATCAAACCTTCAACTTCAACATTACTGCAACCGTCACCGATTTTGTTATTATAGTTTAGTGATATAACTGTATATAGTGAACTGTATCTAATATGTGTACGTATAACTGTGACGTGTGCGTCTTATTATACAAAAGGTTTCAAATAAACATATATTTAGTTTAATTCGTGACCGTCACTAGATTCAACACCAATCTATCACCAGCGTACGATCTTACGTGTATTGCCAAAAATGTTAAAACGTCATAAAGTTTTGTAACTGAATTTCTGTAATTCTGTCAATTTCTGTAATTAAATATATAGAATAAAACTTTTTGTTATAGACGAAAAGTTATGGACACCTTATTTTTTTACTGTGGCAACCATCCAAATTTGAGTCAAGGTAGGCATGAAACAGCTAAGTCCTATATACGCTTCAGATATATTTTTTGTTATATTTTATATAACAAAAAGAATATTTCATCAGCAAAAATCGCGATAAAATCAGTATTCTTTATTTGTTTTTTAATTGTGCTCTGTATCAGTGGAGTAATACTAGAAATAAAATAATTTCGAACTCTACTGGATAAACCCCTAAAAGCATGAGTGGAAGTTTCTAAATGACTTTCCGAAATACCATCATATTTCGACAACAAATCTACCATTTCCAAATAATTTCCTCTGTTTAATGAAGATATAGTTTCATCATGCCCTCGAAAAGGTATTTCTTATTTACCCAAAAAGCATACTATATCGATTAAACGGTGAAAAATTAACGAATCAAAAGTAGATAGAATTTATCTACCTTTAAATTTTGTTTCCAAATGTCTAATTTAAATTGGCTACTTACACTTGTTTCGGTGCAAGTTTTAACAATGTAATTTTAAGCAAGACGCTTAAGTGCTTTTCTGACTTATCGTGTTTTTTAACAGCATTTGTCAAATTATGTAAATCAACGTAACTGTGGTTCCACACAGATTTCGTGATAGCGAATAAAATACATGGAAAACATATCAATCTGTTTTTGTGTTCGCACGCAGTAAGCCAACTAAACATTTCAAAATATTTACTACTAAATTTTTTACTTACAGTTCCTATTTTATGAGTCAAGTCCCTATTCGGTAACGGCCGGCCGGTTTGCAGATTTAGTAACTTTTCTGTAGAAGAAAACTGATTAAATGCGTTCACCGAGTTCAATACTTTTGTATCTCTTCAAAGAATATAATTGATTTTCCAAAATAATAGCTCAAACGTATACTGATGGGGCGGTTTAATCTTCCGAACACAACGGTGACCATTAACCTAAAATTAAAGATCGTTGTCCGTTAGCCCTTTTTGTTTCGTGCTCTGCTCATATTTTAAATTTAATTGTTTTAAGTAAAGGCCCATTACAGCAAATTCATCAAAATACCGCGTTTCGTCGAAACACCTTAGTTACGATTCACATGTCGTATTCTGAAGAAATGATAAACGTGATTGGTTTTTTCAAGGAAATAATTAAGAATGTCGGCACAGGGGACGATAGTACATTTACTCAAGCCACGTCATTCTTGCATAGTTTATAAGAATTCTATTTTAACTTTTTGTCAAATTTTTTTGATAATATTTTTGTAGACATAAAATATTTATTAGGAAGCATTACAGAAAAAATCTTCTGACATAGCTTACTGCA